TTTCAAGGTCATCTATTTCTCCTTCAGTGAGAACCGACACTTGAGGACCTTTTCCTTTGTCTGACAATTTTACTTCTGATAATTTCTTTGCCGGGATGTCAACAAAATTTTCATCTTCTGACAATGTTCTTCCCATCTTAAAATTTTTATTATCCAAAGAGGGAGGTGGTTTGAAGAACACTTGACTACTCATTTCCTTGGTCCTCTTAGTTCCTGAGGGACCGGGGTCGAATTTCTGTTCCTTTGCAGAAACAGACATTTCAATAATCCTAGTGACTTGCTTTCCTAGAGACTGCAGAAACAGGTTGGTGTAATTATTCTGCTGAATAACTGCGCCTATATCCTCTTTACTAGCTGTGCGAAAATTATTGGCGCTATCATCGAGGAAAGTGGTTTCTTTATAGGGAGCAGCTATCATATCTTTCTGCTTAATCACCATCTCGGGTGGATGTATGGCTTTTACTGACTTCCCATCTTTGGAAGTGTAAGTCGAGAACGGGCTTCCTATCATTTCTATATGACTCCTATATTTAGGAATGTCATATTTCTGAGCACACCAATCTAACCACGTAAAGAAGAAACAATTGAATTTCTGTTCTTTCATAAAGACGGTATGGGCTTTCTAGAGATGATCTTGCCTATGCTTCTGAAAGACTGTTTCAAACCAGATTCTTTTATTAATATTTTCAATACTCAGATAATTCCTTTTTATCTTTTCGTGTTCTATTTCAAAGGATTTTAACATATTTATTTCAAACTCTACATCCGAGAAGGTAGGCTCGAGTTGAGGTGGATTTATCCTAATTCCTAGGTTTGGAAGGGTTTGTTTAAACCTGTAGGCTGGCCTTTGTATCTGTTCCTGGGTTCTCCTAAGACCTGCCAAGACCATTCTGTCATGGTCTAGATCATAAGCTATATCAGAGGAGGTACTCGACCTATGTGGTTCTAGGTTGGATCTAGAGGGTGCTAGATCAATCCTAGAGGTACTCGACCTATGTGGTTCTAGGTTAGATCCAAAGGGCGCTAGATCAATCCTAGTTTTTCTAGCGTTGGAGAATTGTATTTCTACCTCTCCATCAGCGAATTGGGAGATCCGAGTAGGTTCTTGATTTTCAAGGGGCTTCTTTGGGACTACCTCATCCAAAATCCACTTTTCTGGTAGGGTTATATCACTCCACTTTATCATTTTTGGGACTGCTACGTTTGATTTTTCAAGGTTGGTTTGGAACAAGGTAGTTTCACCTTTACTGTCTAAATCTTTAGCTTTGCGATAGACAGTGTTCATAACCTTATATGAAACCCTATAAATGATCGCTAGATTTTGGGATCCTGGGTCCATATCATAACCCTGAGTTTGAATATTCAATGTTAAAGCTTTTAAGATATTTAAGTCGGAAAGTGCAACAGAAAAGTTTGGGACCATAACCTTATATGAAACCCTATAAATGATCGCTAGATTTTGGGATCCTGGGTCCATATCATAACCCTGAGTTTGAATATTCAATGTTAAAGCTTTTAAGATATTTACGTCGGAAAGTGCAACATAAAAGTTTGGGAAACAGTTAAAGTATATCGGACCTTCCCCTAAGGTTGACTCAACTATTCCTAACAAGGAATCTGTGAACTTTCTATGTCTTCCATCTCTTAGACAAAGCAAGATTGAACTGGGCAATCCTGTTCTGGTAAGTGGTTTCACTGATACCTGCACCAATCCTATGTGCAAATAGTTATAATTTCTATCCAGATGCTAGTCGATTTGACTCTGGGTGAATAGCTGAAAACTATCATTTTTATCAATGACAGATATCGTTTTTTCAACTGTTTTTATTGCGTAATCAGATCTGAACTTGAAATATCCTTTATAGTATATATCAGTGATGGGTACTCTGGGTATATCCCAGTTGCACAACTCCTTTTCTACGTCCCGCATGATTATTTCTTGAGAGTTTTTAACTCTTAGGGTTCTATGGCTAGAACTGTTACTAGAGCTTGCTTCTCCAGAAGAACAGATAGACAAGATTCTCCTAAGGCTTGCCATTTTAATATTCTGGGTTTTATGCTTTCCTTCTGTTCTCCTCCTAATTCAAGGTTGCTAGTCCCTGCCTAGGTCTCTCAACGCCTTAGCTTACCAGGCAACGGCTAACGAGCCTATCTGACAACTAGACAACTCGATGACTAGTGAGTAAAGGAAACTTGACAGAAAAACCAGAAAATTAAACCTACAACTTAGTTAGAACCTTAAACTTAACAACTCTTCTAGGGACTTTTGGCTCTGATACTAGGTACTGGCCCAGACTGGGGAATTTTGATAGCTTCGGTTGAGGATTTATTATAGTTTTTCCTTGAAGTATCGTGTTTGTCTATTTTGAGAAAAACACAATATAGTCTTCATCGCCTTCTTCTTTTCCTCACAGTGTTTCTCTCTTCTTCTTCTCTAAACCCTTCCTCCTTCTTTTATCTCTGCATGTTGCCACCTCATTCTTTTCCTCCTAGTGTTTCTCTCTCTCTCTCTCTCTCTCTCTCTCCCTCTCTCTATACTCTTTTAATTTTTTCTCCAGCCGTCTCTCTCTCTCTTTCTTCTTCTTCTTCTCCAAGCGTTTCTCTCTCTCCTCTTTTAATTTTTTTTCTCCTTCTTCTTCTTCTTCTTCCTTATGCTCTCGCCTTCTCGTTTCTCGTTCTCGATGCTCTCACCTTCTCTTTTCTCGTTCTTGATGCTCTCGCCTTCTCTTTTCTCGTTCTTGATGCTCTCTCCTTCTCCTCTCCGGTTCTCACCGAAACTTGACCTGAACTGCACCGATTTCTCGACATGCCAATTGTAGTCTGCCTGTCATCTCCTTGGCTCAATGACAACTTCTTCTTCTTCTTCTTCTTCTTCCTTATGATATCGCCTTCTTCTTTCTTTCTTTCTCTCTCTCTCTCTCCTCTTTTAATTTTTTCTCCTTCTTCTTTTTCTTTTTCTTCTTCCTTATGCTCTCGCCTTCTCTTCTTTGGTTCTCGATGCTTTTTTCTTTTTGGTTCTTAATGCTCTCTCCTTCTCCTCTTTGGTTCTCGCCAAAACCCGACATGAATCGCACCGATTTCTCGGCACGTCGACTGTAGTCACGCGTGTCCTCTCCTCGGCTCTAAGGCGACCTCCGGAAAAGCCACACTGACGACATGCTGTTCGATGGACGACAACGCTTCAATGGAACGGTTATCGAATTGTGCCCAGGCCTAAAACAATGTAAAGGAAATGAAAAAGCCTTGTCCGGCTTGCTCATTATGATCAAACCCAAAAAATAAATGCTAACTCAAGTCTTCAGGCTTACTCATTTGCCTAGCCCTATACCATTGGAGGGCCCAAATCCATGGCTGAAATATGCCCAAATCCAAATCCGCCTGCCCAAGTCAATGGTGCCAAATTGTCCTCATATTTCAAGTTCAACAGAATTAGGGCTAGTTTGGGATTGCTATCACTTTTTTAAAAAGTTGCTTTTGCTGTGCTTTGAAAATAATTAGTTGTAAAGTAAGCAGCTACATGTTTGGTAAATAACTCTTTTAAAGTGCTATTAGTACCGCAGTGTCAAAACCGTTTGGTAAATTTTAATATAAAACTATTATAATTGTGAATAATGACTCAAATAGATATGATGTTGAAAGTGTTATGCATTAATTATGTGGTGGTAGTGGAGGTGGTGAAAGAGATGGAGGTAAAGATGGTGGTGAAAGCGGTGGTGGTTGTGGTGGTGGTGGTGGTGGTGGGGATGACGGTTGTCGAGGTGGAGGTTGAGGAGGAGGTGGTGGTGGAGGTGGTGGAGATGGAGGAGGAGGAGGAGGTGGTGGTGGTGGTGGCGGCGGCGGCGGTAGTAATGGCAGTGGTGATAGAGGTGGTAGAGTTGGATGTGGAGGTGGAGGTGGTGTCATATTTAAAAATGAATGATGGTATTTTGGAAATTTAAAAAATTCATTAAAAGCTTGTCTCTACTTCTTTTGGCGAAAAAATGCAATTCCAAATGGTAACTTAATAGGGTTAACTGGTGATTTGCCCCATGAACTTGTACCTAACTTTCGATTTACCCCCTATCCTTTTTTGTTAGAAAGTTAAGGATATAAACTTCTTTTTTTGGCCAATTTCCCCCCTCCGTCTAAATCCACAACATTTCATTCAATTTGTCGTTAAAAATGAGGGCAAAATGGTCATTTTGTACATTAAAAATAAAAAAATTGAAAAATAAAATAAAAAACAGAAAATTGAAATACTCTCTCTCTCTCTCTCTCTCTCTCTCTCTCTCACCAAAGTTGCCCAAGAAGGTGTACGATGGAGATGGTGGGTCCTACTTTGCTTGGTCATCATCTGAGCTTCCTATGCTTCGTGAAGGTAACATTGGTGTTGCCAAGCTTGCTCTTGAGAAGAATGGGTTTGCTCTCCCGAAGTACTTTGATTCTGCCCAGGTCGCTTATGTCCTCCAAGGTATTGACTCTTTTTTTGTTTTTGTTTTTTTTGTTTTTGTTTTGTTATTGCGATTTTTATAAGGCAAAATTCTTGTTGATAGCGAGTGAGTGGTTGACGAGGGTTGGGGTTGGTGGGTAGGGACTGGAGTTTGGGGTGGGGGGGGTTTGTGGGGGAGGGGTGAAAAACCAAATATGGGTTTCTGGGTTTGTGGTTGATGGCTGGAGTTTCTGGGTTTGTGGGGGAGGGGTGGGAGGGGTAAGGGGTGTTCATGGAGAATTGAGGCGAGAAAGAAATCGAGAGGTGGGAGGCTGTGTTCTCAGGATCTTTTTTTGGTCAATTTTCCTCTTTTTCTTCAATTTGTTTCCCAAAAAAAAAAAAAAATTTAAAATGATTTAACTAAAAATTGGATGAAATGTTGAGGATTTAGACGTTAGGGGGGAAATTGGAGAAAAAAAAGAAGTTTATATTTTTAATTTTCTATAAAAAAAAGAAAAAAATAGAGGGTTAATTGAAAGTTAAATACAAATTTAGGTGTCAAAACACCAATTAACCCTATTGTTAATATTAGATGTCACTCAATTTTGCAAGGTTTAGACAGGAGATCTCTTCCCTTGGAGAAGTCCCGCCAGAGCATTCTCTCGCTCCGAGTGTCGCTGAACTCTTAACAGTTAACTCTCTCCACTGAAACGACGCCGTGAAATGCCTCTTTCCCCTCCTGGAAGATGGAGAACCTGCATCTTTGCTTCAATGGCCCCGCTACTGCAAGCCCGAAGCTTCAGATCAGACGCAGCGTTAGAAGCTCTGGCCAAAGCCTCTCAAGACAAAGTCCCCAACTTGCTTCTCTACAACTACCCCTCATTCTCTGGAGCTTTCTCCGCCCTCTTCGCTCACCTCTTTCACTCTCGCCTCAACCTCCCTTGTCTCTCTCTGCCTTTCTCTTCCGTCGAACCCTTCAGGTCCAATCTCTCTCTCTCTCTCTCTCTCTCTCTCTCTCTCTCTCTCTCTCTCTCATTTTCTTAGCATCCAAACATGCCCTTAACATAATTGTTTGTTTGTTTTGCTTTTACAGGGTTGATGATTTGTGTATTGAAGGGCTGGAGAGATGCTATCTTTTTGATTTTCTTGGCCCAAAGGGATTTGCAGTTGAGTTTGCGCGAAGAGCTTTGTGCGAGTAAGTTTCGATTTTGCACCGCAGTGATCAATTTGTTTTAAATGCAAGTAAATTTGTGTTAGTGATTTAGTTGTAGTTGTTGCCTAGTGGTTTTGTTTATGATTGGAAATTATTGGTTTTGGAATTTGATTAGGGTAATTTCCTTTGATCATCGGAGAAGGGTACTTCCACAGATACCCTCCGATGAAGATTGTCCAAAGAACCTCACATTTCATGTGAATCTTGAAAAGAGTAGCTCTACTGCTGTGTATGACTACTTCTCCACTATACTGGCCGGCAGTGAGTATCATAATGTAAGTTGGATTACGAGTCCTTTTCATTTGCAAATTAGGTATATATAAATGGTATATTAAGATTCATTTTTATTTTGCTTTTGTTGAAATTAGGGAATGGATGTAAGTTTATTAGAACCCGAGGACAGAGATCGTGTAGAAATGGTACTTAAGTACATCGAGGATGGCGATCTTCGGCGGTGGAGCTTACCGGATATTAAGGCGTTTAATATTGGACTTAGTGAATGGCGCTCCAAGTTGAATTGTGTTACTAATCCATACATGTATGAACAGGTTTGGCAATCTAGTTCATTTAGTTATTTTATTTTGAAAAACAATGCACATGTCCATCCCCTGAAATACTAATAGGTTCATTTGCAGTTTCTGTGTCCAGTTGTGAGGTAACTTGTTTAAAATCATCCTTGTTGCAGTTACTGGATATAAGTGCTGTGGATGCTATCGCTAAGGGAAGCGCTTATAATTCTATTCGCCAGAAAGCTGCAAATAAGTTACTGGATAATGTTTTGAAAGTAAGGTTGGGGAGAGGATTTTATGGGGAGTGTCTGGTAAATTATTGATCTCTCCCTTTCAAATGATATTTCCTATGTGCTTTTTTATTATAACTTTTTACATCGGTGATAATGGTTTTGTAGGATTGTCCGCTTGACATGGAAGTATTTCATGCCATTTATTATGTGATGTGATTAGAAACTTTGCTTTCTTGATTCGTCTGCATCTAGGTTTTTTTCCCTAGTTTAATCTGTTGGAAATATCTAAGTGGATATTTAATTCTGACATTTTCATTGCAGGGAGTTCGAGCTCACGTGAATTCTGAGCTAAGTGATGAAATCGGCAAGCAGCTTAGTGTAAAAAGTGCTGCTGCTGGTCTACGGTAATTTAACTACAAAAAGTGCTTCTCTGTTTACAATTTCACATTTTCATAGAGAATTTGTTCTTTTAATATAAAATGATTTCTTCATTTGCATGCAGATTCCCATCCATATAATTAAATGTGAAAATTGTTTATGGATCTTCCATGCAGTTGTATTATATTATATGATGCTCCGGCCCCAAATTAGTTCACATTACTAGTTGACTGGATCTTTTTAATTGCATGAACCTCAATTATGCAAGGTTCTTAGAGCCATAGAACTGTTTTGATCTTTAAATTTGTGCCAAGATAAGAGTTGCCATAATGACTTTCAATAAGATGCTTCAAGGTTTTGGTTCAGGCTTTCATAGAGTAAGAGTTTCCCTACTGATGCCAGTGCTATGTTGTTGAAGAGTAATATGATCATAGAGCAAGACATGTATGGAGGTTGTAGCAACAGTTTGCTTAGAAGAGACATATGCTCTTGTACAACACAAGACAAAGCCTATTGGCCATCTAATAAGGCAGCCTTTGTGGTCCAAAGAGAAATACCCATGGTAGTGTAAGACTCAGTCAATGAAAAATAGTAATAAGTAAATAACTCAAAGAGTAAATCCAAGAGTTAATGTTAAGTTTCATTAAGAGTCGTATCTTGGGCCTTAGAAAAACACAATGTCTTTCTTAGTTCTCTAAGAGTATTTTATTATTTAATGAGTCTTTTATATGTCTAGGAGGTTTTGGAAGTTATATTTGAAGTCTATAAGTAAGGGTATATTTTGTAAAGAAAATTAGATTTCCATGAACAAAAAAGGTGTTGTTGAAAGCTTGTTCCTTAATGTATCTCGTATACTTACTTCTCTCTCTTATCTCCACCATTCTTATATATTTCAGTAATTTCTTTAAAATTTGTCCTAAGTCTTACGTTTCCCTGTACCTTTTTGATGTAGGATATGGGTGAATTGAGTATTTAGGTAGTTTAGCGGAAGCGAAAACAATGGAAAACAGAAAATAGAACAAAAGGGATAGGTCTGGAATCACTACAGGGGTTTGGCTTCACACCAGGGGTTTGGCTTCACACCAAGTAGTCTCCAATCTCTGGAAAATAAGCTTTTCTTTATATCTCAACAACTCAACTCCCTAATGAATTACATAGATGGGGTATTTATAATAATTTTACCCTAGAGTGAAAAGGAAAATTAAACTTATTCTAGGAAGGAAATCCTAATCCAAATAAAATAGGAAACTTAGAAACCCTACTGAAATCTGGAAACACTAAAAATCCTAATAAAATCTGGAAAACTTAGAGAACCTAGGAACTAACAAATAGATTAGGAAACTAATTAATAATTCCCTCTTCCATCTCTTTCGTTTGTAAACCCTAATGGGTTTGACAAAGATGTCCTCATCACTTTTTTAATTACTACTACCATCTAAAGTCCACCACAATCTAGGCAACAGCCCACTCTGTTTTGTTTTACATCCTATTGTTGTAAGAACTGAAACGTCCGCTTCTTTCATCATTCCAAGTTCCCCTTATTTCTTCAAGTACAATGGTTAAACTTGAAACTTTCATTTAGAGTTGGAGCTTTTTCTCAATATTTTGAAGGCAATAAGAAGGCACTCAATGTGTGGATTGAAAAATTGAAGGAGCGACATTTTTCACCATGGAAAGGGAACACAAAGAGGAAACTTAGTGAAGGAGCGACATTTTTCAGAAAAACTCATATTCTTAGTAAGAGTCAACGTGTTCGGGTCTTAGACCAGCTCATTTTCTTTTAAGTTCTCTGAGATCTATTACCAAAGGAGATTTTTATTATTTACTGAGTCTTTTAGTATTATTTATAGGAGTTTTTGGGATTTGGTAGTTCTGTTTGAGCCTATAAATAAGGCTATATCATTTATAGTAAGTCAAATTTTGATGAATGAAAATAAAGTGTAGTTCAACGAAAGTGGTGGTAGTGGAGATGGAGTTTTCTTCTTATCATGCTAGTATGTAATTTTTATTCAGGTATTGCTAACGAACTTTTAGCAAATTATCTAACTTATGATATGAAAAGCAAGCATTTAGCAAGATTTACTATCTTGAAACTTGTCATATGTATATTGGTTAGTTGCATATTTCATTTACAAATCTAAAACTGACAGAAAGCTTGTATTCTTAAGGTCCTGGCTTAGGATTTGGGTAGTGGGATTATGGTTCCATTTGAAATGTTTTCCTTGACTTGGATATGCCATTTCCTGAAAGTTTGATTACTCTTTGTTTTTCTTTTCATTTACCGATGATAGTTTACAAGTTATAAAATGTTGGTGGAGGAACTTGAACCAAGTATTTTTTGTTGGATTAAGTTTGTAATTGTCTTAAGAGTGTTTACATTATGATGCCAGGCCTATAGGAGCTGTTATATTCATGCAGCGGAAAAACCTAAAAATGTGCTTAAGGAGTTCTGATAGTTCCACTGATACCTCTGAAGTTGCGAAGGTGTGGCTTCAGTAATAATGTGACCTCATACCTTTTTGTACTACTTTAACTTCTTTTTTCTACTTTTCATAGACTATTGAGTGTTATTGTTTTTTTCTTTTCTTCTTCATCATTATCATTATTAATATTTATAATAACGCAACATGACATGTGAAGGCATATGGAGGAGGAGGCTTGCCAAGTTCTAGTTCCTTTATTATAAGGATGGACGAGTACAATCAGTGGATCTCGGAAAATTCAAGATGAACATGTCAAGGTGTGAAACACAATTGTTAATCCACAAAGTTGTTGAATTACCTGACCATCTCTTTCTCTGACATTTCTATTTGTGCTATAAATACTGAGATTACATTCAAGTATTCTTCCTGTTTCATTTCATATTGGCAATTTGATATTTGCATGCACCCACTTTTGAAAATAATCACATAAATGTATTTTAACTCTGCCAATATCTGTGCAGGTTTTGTCTTTGTTATTGATCGAGGATAACTTATCCTCTTGATTACTAATACAAAAGTTTCCATTCAACAAAAAAAAAAAAAAAATTCACATAAATGCAAAATTGGATAGTTGAAAACATTACCATCACTGATTATCACAGGGTTCTACCATATCCGTTCTAATGTGCATTGTTGCAGTTAGTTTTGGTCAAGCCCAGTGAGTGAGTCTTATAGGTTCTGGAAAATAGTTTGAAGTTTGAACTTCCAAGTGGTTGTCACTGATTCGGAACAGGATTTGGTGAGTGCCCTGTTAATTTGTATGTGGGCTAGATCAATAAATTAGTGGATGATAAGATTAGTCTGAAATTATTCATACACTATGAGTAAGAATAAGTTGTTCTATATGGCTTTGAGGGCTCGGAGTAATAGGTTTTTCCCTTGCAAAGAGATATGGGGTCTGCAAATTTCTCTGAAGTAGCCATTTTCAATTTGATTGCTAATCAACAGATGTATTTGATACAGAGATAACATGTTTATGCATATTGTTTCTGCATTTGTATAAAAAATAGCAAGTTAATGAATCATGTTTTATCTCACTATGAGACAACTAAAACCTCTTCTGCTTTGTCAGATTCAGTTCTAATACTTGCTAATTCTGTACTATGCAATTTTAAAAATGAAATCACATGTAACTGGAGATACGGGTATATTAGTTCACTGGACAACCATCAACCACGATGCCCTTGGCAGTTGGACAAGTAGCCAAGTCACAGTGTTCACCGTTTGTACCCCACCAGGCCACACTTTTATTTTCCATGCCTACTGAAAGGTACAATAAAACTGCCATGAAAGCCAACCCAGCATCCAGTGCCGCTGAAAGGACATAATTGTACCTCTGCCACCACTTCTTCCTGTAACGGAAGACAAAAAAATTGAAAATTGTTCCGACTATAATCCAGGAATTGTAGTTCAATGCTGTAGCTGGAGGCATCGATCCTGTTGCTCCCAGAAGGACTGGAAGATTAATCAGGCGTATCCAATTTTGCTTTGGGTATGCCTTATGCAGTACCCAAACAATAACTGGTCCGACTGCACCCCCGAGGAAGAACCAGTTCATGGCTCCGTAGATTCCAAGAGTTCCAAATATACGTTTAGGTCCCGCCAAACCCCAAATCACAGAAGCATCAAAGAAAACTCGGTCACCTGGGCATGTCCAAGGACTATCCGAATGAGGATCATCCACGCATATATTCGTGATAGAGTTCAGCAACCAATGTGCTACTGCAAGGTTGACGGTTCCAGCAAGAATTGTTCCGATGAACTAGGCATACATGTAAGAAAATACATCAGATATATTCTAAAAAGTAAAGTGATGATATACTGGAATATGTCGCTCCAGGTTGCCCTTTACTCCAGCTCTCTGCTATTTGTTAAGAGGCACCATTTCCAGTAAAATCTCAATTCTTTCACAAGAATATTTAAGAAGTTTTCAACTATGCCTTTAGCATTATTCAATCTATCTCTTTGTATGTGGATATTATGAAATTTTAACTTACCTGAACTAAAAACATTGATCTTGGAGGGATCTTCATGTAATGTCCGAGCTTGAAATCATTCAGAAAGGAGACTGCCTGAGCCATGCTCATGTAGCCATAAGTTTTGAAGCATACATTGGCTATTGGTCTTCCTGGTAATATGATTCCCATGATGTACTCTGTTATTATGTTTAGCCCTGGTGTCTGTACAAAGGGAAATCAGAACATAAGTGAGTTTTACCGAGTTTTAAAAAAGGGTTTGCAGTGATGTTCCCTGCGATATATAGATATGAAAGTAGCAATTTCTGTTCAGTCATAATGCAGGAATGTCATGTAATGGGCCATCCAGTTATAGCTGGATTAATTTAGAACCTGCTGATTACATCTATCTACGGTTGTGTACTACTAAAATATAGTTTTGTATCATGCAAGCTTTTTTATAGACCACATGAAATGAGAATCTGGTACTCTGGTATAGGCACCACATGAAAAGAGAATCTGGTACTCTGGTATAGGCTAACTTGCATGGAAAAATCCACCTGACTACTTGGGATAAGTTGTTACGTGAAAGCATGGATATGTTGATAAGTTTAACTTTTATATATCTTTTGCTGCAAATTAAATACAAAACAGCAAATGTCTGACTCACCTGGTTTGTTGTTGCTGTTATGATGCTGATAGGAAGGGTGAATGCAAAGGCCATGGCAGCAGCAAATAGGAGTCCCCACCATGGCATCTGAACCTGATCATTCAAGACAGTACAGAGTACAAGAGAAACTGCAACTGTAATGATGAGCATCATGTAAAACCACCAGGAAGGTATGTCCTTGTATCTTCTCATCAATCTTGTATGGATATCTTCCTTTCCTTTGTAAGAAGCACGATAGCGATCAAGTATCTCTCTGCCCATTTAGTTGTACATCAAAATGTAAATGAGTTTTAATATTTCAAAATAAGAACCAGATATGGGAGAATAGTGCTTTTGTGAATTGATTTAAAAGGTCATATTTGTATCTATTTTTATCTGTATACCTGTGATAAGAGATTGAGAAAAACTGGTGGAAAAAAAGTAAAGTACTCTTGAATTTTATATGATAAAAGTTTTCTCCAAAATCTTGGTTGTATGTCAAAAAATTTACATGTGAGAACATAAAGAAGTTTTGCATCTCTCTAAGTTATAAGAAGTATTTTACCTTCCATAGAATAAGGCTACATGTGTGAGGGTGGAGGCAATGGTTGCAAAACCAAAGCCATAAGTGAGAGCAAAAAACGTGCTCAAGTGAATCCGTCCTTGCTCCTCATACTTTGGAATATCTAACTCAAACTTGTCATTGACTATAGCTGTTATGTTGTAATCTTGACCTTGCGCTGTAAACAAGTGCGAGGAAAAAATAGGAAACCTTTGTGCAGTGTACAAGTCCAGTCCCCAGTATGCTATAGGGATTGCGAAGTAGAGTATCAATGCATAGCCTGCGAAAACATTGACGATGACAAAAAAAGGGGAGATGAGGGGGCTGAACAAGAAGGATGCCACTGCTGACCAGTCAAGTGTCAGGGCTCCAACTCCAAGGCCTCTCATGCCTGATCCAATCTGCTGGGCTGTAACTGACTTGGAGAATAGCCAGCAAACCCATGATATGTTTGTGAGTGTTGTGAAGAGATAACCTGGGAAAGCATACCACGTAAAACTGCAAACTAGAGCAATTAGGAAGAACTTTGCCCGTGACATGCGTTGCTCATCTTTCTCATGCAAGGCCCTGCAAGTTAAATATAAAACTGTAGTTAGCCATCTGATGAGAATGAACATTTTGTAAATAATGATCCAATATTGGATGCTAGGAACTGAAGATTTTGAACTACTTGATCATGAATTTGGCATGTCTCAATTGGTTTGGGATGTTTAGATGGATGACTGCCCTTATAAGATAGTATTGAATGCTAAGCAGATAATGACTTTGGTTGAAGTTAGCAGAAATGTCTGTTGAGACTGAAAGCATGGGGAATATGTGGAGGCTATGCATGTTTTGGTTAAGGTCTTGAGAAAACATATAAATATGATTTTTCGCAGAAGTAAATTAGTGGAACGAAAAAAAATGATTTGGCACATAAACACCAAGTAGTAGGAAAGATTTTTTCTTCATTGATCTGTATTTTGAATTTTGTAACCAACTTTTCCACTGCAGTTGACAACATGAATTCTGCTACTGCTGAAGTCTGAGGTTTTCAGCCCTAAGAAGTTAAAAATGAAAAAGGAATGAGGTATCCATGGCTGATCTGTTTATCGGCTAGAACCCTTCCACTACTCTCAGTCCTTCGTCGACAACACTAATTTTTGTTATTGCTATTTATAACCCCACCATAATACAGGAAAAGCAGAAAGTTTAAGTTGTTTGAAGTGCATTTTGATTCTACACAGGAATGAGTTTTTCTGGTGTTTAAAACAGCTGGAAAAGAACATGTGGTAGTTGGGATTTTTTTTCTTTCGATATCCATGCCTGTATCTATCGTTGCCCGTTTTAATAATCAGCAGAAAACAATGGGAAGGAAAATGGAAAAACTTGTCCGGCTGGGCCCATTTAAGATTCCAATTAACCAAGGTGGTTAGTGTGAGTGGTTCGGCACTCTCATTCCTTAAGAGAGGTCAGGGGTTCGATCCCCGCTCTCGTATGGAGTCACCACTTTGGCCAACACTTTACCCCTTATGGGCCGACCCGGTATGAGCGGGGATTAGTCTGGGTTGTGGTTAATGCTTAAAGGTGCCACTCATATTTGGGGCCCATCCAGGATCACTCGTGGTTCAGACCCAAAAAAAAAAAAGGAAAAACTTGTCCGGCTGGGCCCATTTAAGATTCCAATTAACTCATCCTAAATGGCTTTGATTTCTGGTCTACATGGGCAACTAAGTAACAGGCAGCTGCATGTGATGGGAGCTTCTATAATGAGGGTTTATAGTGAGGAGGCTATTTGAGGAGGCCCATCTCACCATCAAAAGGGGTGTGGACCCCCCAATGCACCCCCCCATGTACTTTGTTTTTAATTGTTGATAGTGAGATTTCACCTCCTCAAATAACCTCCTCACTCAACCTCCTCATTCTAGCCTCTCCAGCATGTGATGCGTTGACTCACAAATGGAAAAATAACAATCAATACAAATTCGAAAGTTACATCATCGATGCATACTTCAATCTTCAATTGGAGGGACGCCAAATTTTTCAAGACCTCAAGCTTAGAAAAGTATTAAATTTGAAAATTCTTAACAAGAGTTATGCATTTGTTTGCGTGTACAAAATTCTCAATAACGTGTCTCTCGCATTTACTACATAACTATAAATGTGAGATACCCGTTTCATGGAACGCGTGTATAAAATCTTGGGAGATTCACTAATATACCCAATATAGGAGCCCAAATTATAAAAATACCCTATATGAAATGGACTTTAGAAACACACCCAAAACTCATTTATAACATAACAA